CTAAAGTTGCTTTCTTGGATTGAGAAGAAGGATACAAGTGGCGTCGGTCTAGCAGAGAGAAGAAAAGGGTTAGAAGACCAAGACGAAGAAAGGGCAAGCTCGCAAGCTTTCCTAGAGGAAGACGAAGAGAAGTGGAACAAGCTCTCAAGCTTTTCCAAGAAAGAAGAAAAACCCCTCACGTTTTTGGCTCCAAAAATCACATTCTATCATCTACTTTTTATTTGCCAATACATCCAATATATATAAGGAAAACGGGGCAGCCAAACAGCCACCAAAACCTCCCATTAAACCAATCAGGTAAGGGGACGAGGAAGGACAATAGTCAACACAAAACAACAACCAAAGAGACTTCACAGAACTCGAGTAGAAGCAGCCACGGGAAGACAGCCAAGGAAGAATCCGAGCAGGCAACACAGGAACCAGGAAGAGCAAGTTACGGGAAAGCAGCCAGGGGGAAAACCGAAAAGGCAACCAGCACCCAACATCAAGACACGGGGGACAACACAAGGAAAAAATCGAGAAGACACAAGAAGGGGAAGAGGACAAGGTTCCAAACTTTTACAAGTGCAATAACTCCTCTTATTAATGAGCTAATATTAGTTCAAGCATTAATGAGCTAGAACCAAGTAGTTCCCAAGAATTTAGCTCAAAAGCAAAGCAGCCAAGGCCCAACCCGAGAGCAGCCAAGGTCCAACCTGAGAGACAACAAGCAGCCCAAAGCTTGCCTACATCAGCTACCTAGCTCTTGCTATGAAAACAATAAGTTGGTGGTGGCAAGGCGATGGAAAGAGGATCTAATGAGTAGCAATGTCAAAAATTATAACCATGTTGAAATTATATGTTTCATTTTATTTATGACTTTCATTAGATTTTGTTAGATTTGGACTTCTTAGGTCTTGTTTGATCCCTTTGAATCCACTGCTTAAAAAGATGTGAGTTACTATTAAGTTTCTTATCATATTTTTCCTTTATTGGTAATAACATGGCAAGTATAATCTTCTTTTATAAGGCTCAAACAAGGTCTAAGTGACCTAATAATATTGCTAGGGATTTGAGAGCTTATAATGGATCCCCCTGGCTTCTTTGTTGAATGCAAGAGATGTTAAGGGGCCCAATGATCCTTTAGCGCATAGGCTTGGGGCAAGATTATGAGAGACTATAGTAGCTACCTTATAGGCTCGTAGGCCTACGAGTGGATTGATGGATCAAGGATGGATTGAACCTTGGGCACTTAGGGTAGGGGTGTTGCCCCATCTTTCCAAAGAAGAGGAGTTAAGAAAAGCAGGAATATCTTCTCTAGGAGCCTAATAAGATCACAAAACTCAAAGGTCTAATCCTTTGAGAGGAGGGTTGGGAGTAAATAAATAGCAAATAAAAACTTCTAGGTTAGGTTGATAAGGCCAATTTGATTGGAAGGTGCTGGCTCCAAATTGCTGGAGCAAGTTTAATTTGAAATGGAAGGGGAGAACTAGTCGATATATGTCGAATTGGATCTAGTTAGGCATTAAACCATGTTAAGTTATAAATGTTAACTTCTTGGGCTATGTGAGCGCCTAATTAGCAAAATACTTAAGTTTATTTTGGGAGTTGGGAGACTTTAGGTTGCAGTTATGGCTCAGTCTGATCCAAGCTATTTGAGCTTGATTATCGTTCGATCAATCCCATTATTGGTTAGGGTGGATCTAATTGAGGTTGTGCTTAGCCCAATTTAGGTCGAGTATATTACTAAGGGGCAAGCTCACTTAGTTTAGCATATGCTAGGATTTATAAGTAAGCTTATTGCACCACAATAGTATATTAGGGTCCATTTAGAGATTACAACTGCAATTATTTTTTACCCAAGTAACCTAAAATGAATTAATTATGTCGGTTAACTAATATTGTCTTGGTCAACTATACTAAGTCGATTGATGTCGGGCAAGTGTGAACCCATAGGAATTAACCTAGATGGGCCCTAGGAAACATCAGCGCACATTGGTGCTGAGCTAAGTCTTGGAGCCTAGGAGTTTTGACTTGGTCAGTTGGATCTTGATCAAGGTTTGACCTAAATGAACATGGGTTAGGTTCGACCACGATTAGCCTAAGTCAATTAGATTCTATTTGGATTACAACTTCGCATAGTGGAGGTTAGCCTTCAACCTATAATCAGGACAAAGAGCTTGAGTGAGATCCTCCATGAGTGTTTACCAAGTCAACTCAAAGTGGATCCATGTGTTTCAAGTATAGTCTTCTAACTCTATTGACCATAGGTGGGCATTAGTAGATGGGGATGCACACTGATGCAAATTGGTTTGAGCTTAGGGTTTTATGGGCTTTGATTCTATTCAATAGACCTTAGTCAAAGTTTGATATGCTAAGCCTTGACCATATGAAATAATGGTTGGCTAGAGTATATGGGTTGATTTTACATCTATTTGTTTAATTAAAGCTAAATGGCTCAATAATGATCAATTTGTTCTATATTTGATTAGGATCTATCATGGTGATCATGATTTGTCTTGATTGAGATGGGTGATATGCCAATTAAGCCTACAAGGGCGTCCAAGGGTATATTATATCATATAATACAGGATGATATAAAAATGTATGCGAAAATATCGAAGTCGTGGTCCCCCCTTCTTGTCCCTTTAGTTATCTATAGGCAGTCAAGTATAATTATTGGTCCAATTGAATATGGCCTAGTCACATTAAGTTTGCTCTGATAAAAACTTGAATAGGCCAAGTGGGGCCAGAGGAGGGCCCTATTGGGGTTTGGGTCCATCAAAGTTTTGTTTAGTTACCAGAGATTGTTTGAGCGAATATATTATCGGGCACATTGATTAGTACTCAGTGTGGTTAGGTATGTGGATTAGTTTGGTCTATTAGGTTGTACTTGGGCCCACTCACATTTGGTGGAATTGTCTAGAATCATCTAGGGCCTATATGAGTTTCTTAGGGCATATAGTTGGTCACCTAAGGTCAAAGGGCCATTTAGGGATTTAATTGTCAATTATGGGACCACATGGGGTTTACCAGCACAGGGCTAGGTCATTAAATAGCTTCCCACTTGTTTGGGATTACTAGGCCAATCATGAACATCATAAGACCCCAACAACATAGTTGGGACAAGCCACAAATCAAGCAGGGTCACAGTCCTTCAACAATTTCATCTATTAAGATATAGTAAAGGATAACCCATTCAACTTTGTTGATAGAAGCAAAATCCCATAATCTGACCGGATTAATTGTCTTTGTTTTAGCTTCATTCTTGATAAAGCATTCGTATGAGCAAGCTGATACTTGCTTGACGAGTGGAAGAGCCAATTGGCTCATTCAATAGTAAAAAAGAATGATCTAGAGTTACAAAGGAAGAGCATGACAATAAGAGGGAACAAACAGATAAAGGGGAAGATAACATTGTGATGATTTGACATTTTGTAGGCCCTGAAGCTAAAGGATGAGCTTGAGGAGCATGACTGGAAGCAACACAAAAAGTTCATGAAGTGATGATGATGGATGAGATAATTAATGATAATAGGGAAAGGTTGGAGTAGGCAAAAAACAGGGAAAGTGAAAGATGAGAAGAGGACCATGTCACCTCCACTGCATGATAAGTAGGGCCATGAATTCACTCTCACAACACTTGAGGAGCACATGGCTTCCAACCCAATGGCTTGTGAAAGAGCAAGCATAGACTTAGAATTTAGCCTCTTAGCTCCATTTACAATCCTGGCCAAGTTACCTTTATAAAGAGGCATTTTGGGAGAATATAAGATTACTCATGATCCTCATCACACCACAACTTTTCTCCACTTGTGAAGTATATTTCTCCTCTATTAGGGCTAGCACTAAAAGAAGTAGGCTTAGATGTGCCAATGTCATTTGACCTGCAGTTATGTGATTAGTAAATGCCTTAATGATTCTTTAAGCACGTGAAATTGAAATCTCATTTGTCTTGGTAAAAATTTTTGTTTATTTTTATTTTGTAGAATGAACACGGTGAAAGTAACTCTTTGATTAACAAAATTACTTTGCTCACAAGCCGCTCCGCTTCACCCACTATGATAGTGTCATGATCAATAGTGTTGAATGCGTTTGAATCAGCCTAACTTGGACATGAAGGCATTATCTACCTCATTGGAGGAAGTATATAGAAGTGAAACTTGTGCTAGTGGATCAAGCTTGTGATCCCCTTCTGTGGAGACTAGTTTTATTGCACGTGCATTAGATGCTTATGAATATTTTTTTTAAATAGAAGAAAATAGCATAAAATTAGAAGCAAATGGATCATGAACTTTGAAGATGGATAAGAAAAAGAACTAAAAAATAGTAAATAAAATTGGAAGTATAAAATGCCCAATCTATTAAAACAATTTGAAACACAAATTAACACCCATGCTATAATAATATGAGTACAATTTCATTTATACATTGCCAATTGTTTTAGCATGTTATAATCGTGATTGTTATTCTTTGCTGACTTCTTTTCTAATTATAGAATAATTTAATTTCAACACAAATTCATGAATTCATGTCCCGATTCTTGAACTCTATTTATATTTGGACACTTTAGTATATTTTTGTTTTTATAGCACATGAAAAGATATATATAAACAAATAAAGATAACTTATTAATTACAAACAACAAATCAACTAAAAATCAATCGTTAAAATAAAAGTAATAGGTTTTCAACATTAACTTTTTCCAACAATAGCTTTGAGTGTGCAACTAAAAGATGATTAATAATCTTCATCATGTTCATTCTATTAACATAACTCTTAGATGTGTCAATTAATAGAAGGCTTTATCAGAGAATCAGCTTCAAGTGCACTTATAATTTTTGCATCATCACCCTTCAAACTTCTTAGCATACAAATGTGACAAGTAATGTATATTTAACAAGTAATAGACTTAAAATCAAAGTTCATATATACAATTAACATGGTGAAAAAAAATTCAATTTTCAACTATTAGCAACAAATTTTTGTTTCAAAATATAAGAATTGTATATTCAACTTACCATCATATTGTTCAGGATACAACAGCAACTTTCAAATGCTGTGTTAAAGAAAGCGAAGAGGATTCAAAAAATAAATATTACATTGGCACGAGGAGAGCACCATTCTACTCATCAAAGTTAAAGGTTGGAATCATCGTTAAATAGAAGGGAATCTTCAAAACAATGTCAGGAGATATCAAGATTTATGTTAGAAATTTTTAAGATGACAAAAGAATAATAGAAAAAATGAGAAGTATTGAATTTAAAATACAAAAGAAGAGCCCATAATTTCATCAATGAAGTTCCCAAAAAAGCCAATCAAATGAGATGAATATATTAAATTCTTAAAGCTGTATTGCATGCAGTCAGAAATATATAAACAATTAACCAAAATTATTGTACTGAACTAAGCTAACATGAAAAGAGGATACCTTCACATGAAGACGTTTAAAGTCTTCAAGGGAGACGGAGAGAGATAAAGACGACAAAGGAGATCTTCAAGGGAGATAAAGAGAGTTAGCAATGGCGAAGATGAAGAACTTCAAGACAAAACAATGAATAAAAAACAAAACATTTTCATACAAGCACGCGGATTGTATGTGCTTAATATGGAAGGTATGCGAATTATAATAAGATATGGGAATACGAAGAGTTGAGAAGCCAATGTATGGTTCAGTTTTAACTTTGACATAATAATAATAATAATAAAATCTTTGAAGAAGCCAATAACATCATATTGATCATACTTTTCACATTTATAATTCAAATGCTTAAATATATAGACTTAGAATTCATTAACCTTAAATAATCCAAATTATTGCATTCCAAAGTCTAAATTTATAATATCAAACATATAATCTATCAAGCAATCTCAGCCCTGGGCATTCAACCAAAAGCTGCCTCTTTGTAAAGCCACCGTTCCCAGTGAAAGATATGATGTAGGACTAAATGCGTATGTTGATGTTTTGTATTTGAAATTATATGCCTTTTGAAAGAGCAAGAACAAGAGCAATTAGTCAACTTCTTTGATTTAACGATGATCGAAAACAATAAAGTAGTGATTTAGATCAAGCAATAGATAACAAAACCAAGATTTAGAACACAAAAATAATCAATCAGTTTAGATTTTACGTAATGTGGGGATTTCGACAGAAATCCCTAAATTAACATTCAAAATAGTCACTATGTAAAATCCCTCACTCAACTCTTTGATGATTGGTGAAAGCAGAGAAAGTTTACACATTTGTCAGGATTCGGAATTAAGTCACCACTGAATGGAAGGGTGTTGTTGGTCGATAGCAATGGCGAGGGAGAAGAGGATTCTCTCTACGTAGTCTTCAACGGATTTGTCATTCTCAAAGTCAATGTCGAAGAATGAAGACAGGAGGATGTCAATCAACCCTTGATCGTCGAAAAAAAACCGTGATCATGTTCTGGATCCTCCATACATGAGTGGACAACAGACTAGGAGTTGGGGGAACTTCTGGACAGCAAACAAAGTCTTTCCGGACAGCAAGACAACAAGGAAGCCTTGTTGAAATTTCTGGACAGCAGTGGGAAACCTTGGAGAGATGGTAATAGCATAAAATAGGAGGAGATTAGGAGTACTTGAAGTGTAGAGAGGAGGAGAAGGGGCCGATGATGTAGGCAACCTTTGGGCTGCTTGTTGCCTCTTAGTTTGGACCTTGGTTGCTCTCAGGTTAAGCCTTGGCTGCTTTGATTTTGAGCTAAATTCTGGGGAACTACTTGCTTCTAACTCATTAATGCTTGAACTAATGTTAGGTCATTAATAAGAGGAGTTATTGCACTTGAAAGAGTTTGGAACCTTGTCCTCTTCCCCTTCTTGTTCTCCTCGATTTTTTCCTTGTGTTGTCCCCGTGTCTTGATGCTGAGTGCTAGTTGCCTTTTCGATTTTTCCCCTGGCTGCTTTCCTGTAACTTGCTCTTCCCAGTTCCTGTGTTGCCTGCTCGGTTTCTTCCCTGACTGTCTTCCTGTGGTTGCTTCTACCCGGGTTCTGTGAAGTCTCTTTGGTTGTTGTTTTGTGTTGACTGTTGTCCTTCCTCTTCCCCTTACCTGATTGGTTTAATGGGAGGCTTCGGTGGCTGTTTGGCTGCCCCCTTTTCCTTATATATATTGGATGTATTGGCAAATAAAAAGTAGATGATAGAATGTGATTTTTGGAGCCAAGAACCTGAGGGGTTTTTCTTCTTTCTTCGAAAAGCTTGAAAGCTTGTTCCACTTCTCTTCGTCTTCCTCTAGGAAAGCTTGCGAGCTTTTCCTTTCTTCGTCTTGGTCCCCTTTCTTCTCTCTGCAAGATCGACGCCACTTGTATCATTCTTCTCAATCCAAGAAAGAAACTTTAGGTGTATTTTTATGTTTGCGCTTGTGTCAAAGTTTGTAAGTTTTTTACATTACAAAAAGTTGTAGTTTGTCGTATTTTTGAGAATTTGGTGTATTTTTTTTATCCTAGGAAGCGTGTGTTTTTGCTTGCAAAATTTTGGGATTTTTCCAAATTTTGCGTGTATCAATTTTGTATCAAAGCAAAAGATTTGTGAGTCTTCCTAGGTTGTTTCGTGTCTTTTCTTAAGTGTTTAGAAAAAAATATGAAAAATAAAAAAACAGCTAAGTAATCCAGTGGACAATCTTCCAGCATCAAAATGGATGCCTCATAATGCAGATTCTTCGGATCCTCTATAGTTTGAGCTTTTCAAAATTCAAAAGCTTGATGCGCCTCCCTTGCCTCGTCAAAAGAAAATTAAAGCAACCTCATCGGGAGATGAGTTCTTTCAACCTGAGGAGAATTAATGTAGGCAAGCTTTGGGCTACTTGTTGCCTCTCTGGTTGGACCTTGGCTGCTCAATCTCGGGTTGGGCCTTGGCTGCTTTGGTTTTGAGCTAAATTCTTGGGAACTACTTGGTTCTAGCTCATTAATGCTTGAACTAACGTTAGCTCATTAATAAGAGGAGTTATTGCACTTGAAAAAGTTTGGAACCTCGTCCTCTTCCCCTTCTTGTGTCTCCTCGATTTTTTCCTTGTGCTGTCCCCATGTCTTGATGTTGGGTGCTAGTTGCCTTTTCAGTTTCCCCCTGGCTGCTTTCCCGTGACTTGCTCTTCTCAGTTCCTGTGTTGCCTGCTCGGTTTCTTCCTTGGCTGTCTTCCCGTGGCTGCTTCTACCCAGGTTCTGTGAAGTCTCTTTGGTTGTTGTTTTGTGTTGACTGCTATCCTTCCTCTTCCCCTTACCTGATTAGTTTAATGGGAGGTTTTGGTGGCTGTTTGGTTGCCCCCTTTTCCTTATATATATTGGATGTATTGGCAAATAAAAAGTAGATGATAGAATGTGATTTTTGGAGCCAAAAACCTGAGGGGTTTTTCTTCTTTCTTGGAAAAGCTTGAGATTGTCCTTTCTTCGTCTTGGTCTTCTAACCACTTTCTTCTCTCCGCAAGATCGACGCCACTTGTATCCTTCTTCTCAATCCAAGAAAGCAACTTTGGGTGTATTTTTATGCTTGTGTTTGAGTCAAAGTTTGTAAGTCTTTTATCTTATAAAAAGTTGTAGTTTGTCATATTTTTGAGAAATTGGTGTATTTTATTTATCCTAGGAAGCGTGTGTTTTTGTTTGCAAAAATTTAGGATTTTTTCCAAATTTTTGTTTGCATCAGCAGCTTAAATCTGACAGCCTAAAGAGAGCTTCTCATATATGAGGGAGAAGTCGAGACAAATGAGCTACTAGGCATCTACAGTGAGGTTAAGAAGAGGGAAGTGTTACTCCCTGTGTCATTAGGGGTGTCAATATTTGACACGACCCAAAAACCCGACCCGGACCCGACCCGAAAAATTCGGGTTGGACTCGACCCGTTTGATAAACGGGTTGGGTTCGGGTTCTCAAATTCGACCCGTTTATCAAACGGGTCGGGTTCGGGTTAACCCGGCGGGTTGCCGGGTCAACCCGCAATCCCGTTTATTTTAAAAACCGATGGGTTGACCCGAATTGACACCCCTACCTGTGTGAAGTCCAATGAATGGAGAAGAGGCACGAAAGACAAGAAATAACAAGAGAGAAAACAATATGTTTTTGACAAGGGGCCTAAGGAACATCAATGACAATAATTTCTTCCAAGATTTAGGATGCCTTAAATATTTTCAAAAGTTGAATAATAGCTCACATTAAATGTGAAGAGAAAAGGAGAGAGAGAAAGAGAAATGATAGGTAAAATACATTTAAATTAAATGTATTAATTAATCATAATATATACGTGTGTGTAAACTCATATAATTTAAATATATATTAATTACATAACATTTAAACAACAACCAATTCAATTCCTCAAAATACATCAAATGAAACATGAATCGAAAGAGGTAAGTCCGCTCGAATCATCTTAAAGATTAGAACGCGATCTAACATTCCTTTTTGCAAGATGATGCCCCAATCAAAGAATTTTATGTTAGCAAATATTTTCAAATATGACAATTTTGTGCTCACGAAACCATATAGAAATCTTAACAAATTGTTGTTGCACTCATTACATGTGTCCCCAAACATTATGATGAACATAATACAACACACGAAATACAACTTCGAGCAAAATGAGATAATAGGATGACCACGAGTGACTAAACGTATCATCAAAAGCGGCCGTTCAAATAATGCATGAATCGGACTTGATTAATAGCTCTCAGTGCCAAGGATGATCACGATCGATGGAGAACTATCCTACAAAGCATATGGTTAGGTCCCAAGATAATTCATGCAAAAAATGAAGTCAACAAGCATTCAGGAGGTGAGTATTTCATAGAAGCACACCATTTGTGGAGCATAGACAAGCTGGAATAAGAAAGTGTACAAAAGGTCATTGAAGATCAAAAGTTCAAAGAATGCAACACCAGAGTGAAGGTGTGTAATAAAGATCAAGAGGATTGTAGGCAATGGCTCTGATACAATATTATGGGGCAGAGAATTATAAATGACTACATCCTTAGTTATCATTCATGTGCAAGCATATACAAGTTTATATATAAGCAAGAAAAGCTATTTTGGCCGGACTTAGTAGGGTTTGATCATCTATAAAGGACAATCAATTTGGCTCTCATAATGTTTCTAATTCTTGATGGCCTTCAAACATCACCATGAATCAATGCTAAAAGTTGGGATTATTTATAGGTTTGATTTAAATATGAAGTACGAGTGTATTAAGCAAATTGGCATACTTCATGATGAAAGTTCCTTGGAATTTTATTGATGAACAAGGAAGGAAATAACTTTTCTAGATACACAAAGTTTGGGTGACCAAGGTGATAGAGTCAAGAAAAGACTTCTTTATAATTGGAGTTGAAAAAGAGCATGAATTGTTGGTTAATTAGCTATATAGGGGAATATAACTTGCTATTTGAGCTGGTTGTTCATGAGAGAAATCATTTTGGCCACTTCAATAATTCATATAATTTGGTGTGGCAAGTGTTGGCCCCTTTTTTATTATGTGACTCTTAGTATCTTAATTAATTTTGGTTCCCTGCCTTCACTTGATGTATGCATATATGAGTTCACAAGTTGTTTTGTTGTTCACCTAATCAAATTAGGTTAATCTGATTATGATGAATCATCCAATATATCAACTATTAGCTTGACAAAGTGGTAGGCCAATCTAATCGAGGGAGAGCCTCTTGGATGAATTTCCTAGATATTAATGCCAAGGGTAGATATAGCATACTGGGAAAAATCTTAAAAAATAAGTGATAGGCCAAGGACGTAACGTAATGAGGTTCAAAGCCATTCAATTTGCTATGAAATTTGTGCTTCCATGCGATGATTAGCCAAACACAATCTCATAATGTTTAATGCAAATCCCAATGCAGATCGAAATGCTTTGGATTGCCAATAAACTTTTTTTACTCTGGCATATGGAAAGTTATTATTCAACCTGTTTCTCTGGTAAGATCAGCAAATATGATCCCCGTATTCTAAGGTGACTGTAGATAGCATCTTCCATAACATGTGAGAGCAAACATGGCACAAAAAGGCAATTAGAATACCCAACCTTCTCTCAATTCATGATTATGAGACTCCATCATAACTCCCTCAACTCAACTATAAATCAACTCACTCACACCACCATTTCTGCTTCCCTTAAGTTGGTCGGTATACCGATGTCCAGCCTCATGGTTGACTTGTATTTTTCAGGTACCTCCATCCCCCCCTTTACACAAAGCTCAACTATTGCCGGAGCCTGCCCGTAGAAATTTCGTAGCTCCCGTTGCAGCTCAAACATGTTCTCTGGAACATGCCATACATACCTCGGTGGAACAAGGTCATCAAGAACTGCTTTTTGCCATCCATGTTGTCCATTTCGTTGTTGGTGCTTATGAGCACCACAGTTCTGCGCCTTGTGGCCACTATAGCCAACGTGTACCTCAGGACAATATCCGCATACACGCACTGCATACTTCCTCATCAGCCTCTCTGCCCCCTGCCTCACCAACTCCCATGCCTCAAATGTCTCCATTGCAAGCAATGCTACTTCCTCAGACCCAACTGGCGAAGTTATCTCAGAGTCAGGGATCTCAACAAGGATTGACTTTCTAAACTTGGCATAGGGGTCAAGGTCATCTGGAAGATCATCTTCATTGGCATCAATGATGTCATTTTTCCCACGACGAATGACCGGCCTTCTCCGCCTCTTGGTGTGGAGATCAGGAAGGTCTACACCAGCTTGTATGCACAACTCTATAATAGCTGGGATGCGAGGGATGGAAAAACGCTCCTCATGGGATATACGCCTTCCAAGACGATCAAATAGATGGTAGGCTTCAATAGGGACGAACACATCATCAACATTTGCCTTTGTCCATTCATGAAGACCTCGGCGGGTTTCAGCTCGGAGACCTCGGCATGAGCGAAATGGGTGCCCATTTGGTCCAACATGGATTTCATTGCAATGCCTACAAGAAAATGCTGTCATCAATGAAACTTTAAAAAGAATATTCTAAAAAAAAAAAAAAAGATTAAGAGCTGATGGTTACTTGCAAGCAAGAACCGGTACCACTTTCATGAGCTTCTTCAAATTGTTTATTAGTTTTACCCTTGCATTGAGCACTTCATATGCGACAGGAACTAGGCTTTTGACCAGCATACCATTCCTTGGAGGAGGGGTTGGAGTCTTAGGCTTTCCCTTTAATTTCTTTATCCTCTCCCTTGCAGCTCGCCTCAGCTCAACTATGGGTATTGGAAAAGGCTTCTTCTCCTTCTTCGAGTAAAAAGGTGGCAGATCAGCATTCTGGGGATGATCATTTCTGATACCAATTTTTCTTGATTGGCATTTAAAATCATGAATCCATGTTGAGACTCCAACTTTCAAGGAAAACTTTAATTGATTACCATCATGCTGCAATTAAGAAAGAGGGTAAAAGTGAAATACAGCTTCCACATTCTTCTATGCTCTTCTACTTTGTCCAACTTGCAATAGAAAACAACAGAAATGAGAGGCTTGTCAAAAACCACCAAAAGAAACACCGTGGTCTCAAAAAAATTCAATAAAGGCATACATGCGTGACAAAATGAAATAAAATTAGGTGAACTGGCAAACTTAGTTGGTAAAAAATTGGAAGTTGTTTCCAGGAATCAAATTCGAAAAAAAAAAAAAAATCAGGCACAGAAACGTAAGAACACACATGGCCAATTTGATTTCCAGCCAAAGTGCGCCTGATCCATATAAAAGGCTTCAAAGCTAAATACGTCTGAGTTATTCACACAATTTTTTTTCAGTTTTCTGGATAATTTAACATATTATTACCTTGAGCAAAGATCTTTGATGCTCTTCATCAAGAAAGTGATTATGCCAATGATTTGTACATGAAGTCCCAGTATAATGTAATTATTAAATTTAATTTTCCAATGACAAAACCTATTCAATTGATCTGCTTTGGATGACCGACTTCTACGAAATTGCAATCAGAATGTTAAAAAAACAGCACTTGATTAGCCATCCTACCTTCTATCGCCTAATCAAATCCCTAAATTTATAACCAAAGGAAATGTGCCAAATAGTAATCGAACCCAAATGCTTAGCCAACTATTTAAGATTCCATTGAATGCCTTTGGTTGGGGTTTTAGCAAACTATCAGTAAAAAAGTTTCAAGTCAAGTCGGCAATTCCTTACAATCAAATAAAAGATGATACCTTCACAAAAATCACGTCTTTCAAGTAAAAATCTGATCATTATGAGCTTATTCTAATACTTTAACCATCCAGAATTAGACTTGAAAATTACGACAAAGGAAAGCATCAAGAAAAGTAACATACCAGAGAATAAGCGCTCGATGACAAGAACGGGAAAGAGGGCTTCCTCAAAAAGTCCCATTCACGAGCAAATGAAACCCTAACGGAAACAAAATTGGGAGTGGAGGTTCTAGATTCCACCCTCAACGACGTGAAAGAGGCCGCACCGGAAGCGCACTGAAGACAATCCATGCCCTGCCCAGCTTTGGCTGCTAATTTTTTTGTTTTTATCGATGGATAATGTATGGATACCGAAAGTAAAGATTTTTATTATTATTATTATTATTATTAAGCGCCAAGCACCATTGAAATAGTGATGATTTGATGTTTAGAATTTTTTTATATAAAAATTATCTAAAATTTTGAATAATATATGCCTCACAGGCCTAATATATAGCATTTGTTTTATTAGAAAAATACATTGACAAAAATTTTCGAATTGAAATGTCTGTTTTATATTAAAATATAAGGCATAACTCTGGACTTAGGAGTCACACAAATTCCGATCAACATAGATGCTCAAGCATTAAAATTTTAACTAATAAAAAATAAATATTATTCACTACAAAAATAAGTGTTATTCACATTATTAAAAATTATTTTTTTTAAATAAGTTAAAATTGTTATAAAACGTATAAATTTCACTTAATTATTTAGTCTTACATCACTTGAGAATATTTTCTTAATATTACTTACTTATATAGCTTTTTTTATGTGTAAAAGACTTATATTAGGAGGTGGTGGGGCCATATGGATGTTTGGTTTGTATGTATTTAATGCTTATTAAAAAATAGAATATATTGAATTTAAATGAATTTATTAATTATAATATAATATTTATATTTTATATTATATTTATTAAATCAAAATTTAAAAGAAACATTGATTAAACTGGATAGTTAAAAAAATCATAATTGATTCAATGATTTGTCGATTAAACCGACGATTCTAACCAATTTAGTCTGGTTTATTGTAAATCCAACTTTCATTATTGATGGGACTGTACCATACACCCTAAATACCATATGAACGATCCATGGTAGAATCAATCAAATTGGCCTGATCTAATTTTTAAAATCATACAAGAAGCCTTTTATTGCTTAAGTTTGTTAACCTAGCTAAGCCTTATACTACCTGAAGAAATGTATGAGCCTAGCAGGTATAGGAAGAAAGAAGATCAAGATAGTAAGCGTAATGTAGAGATCATATTATTTCATATCTGTTACAATATGTACATAGGCTCTATATATAGAAATGTACAAATAGAGTAACACGTGTACAGTAATGATAAGCTACAATATTAATTGGTTTTAGGTGTGGTACTATTGATCTTTTGTATTTGCCTCTAATAGTCCCCCGCAAATGTACGAGTCTTTTGTGATCGTCAGTTTGAGCCTCAAGAATTGGAATCTTGGAGTTGTTTAGATTTTTGGTGAATATGTCGGCGATTTGATCAATAGTGCTCATAGGTAGTAATATGATTCGATTGTGTTGTATATGGTCATGAATGAACCTGTGATCGATTTCGATGTGTTTAGTTCTGGCATGAAACACAGGGTTATTAGCTAGAGCTATAGCTGACGTGTTGTCACATAATAGATCAATATGATTACTATGATCTATGTGGAAATCTTCAAGAAGCCGTTTGAGCCATAGTATATCTGTTGTGGCAGCTGCTAAGGCTTTGTATTCTTGCTCGGTTGAAGATCGTGCGATGGTGTTTGGTTTCTTGACAGCCCACGAAATGAGAGTTTGACCAAGAAATGAACAGTAGCCTAATGTAGATTTTCGTGAGAGCGGATCGCCTGCCCAATCAGCATAAGAGAATGTGCGGATTTGAAGATCATATTTTGTAATTGGTAGACCCAAATCTAATGTTCTGCGGATATGACAAAGTAGTCTTTTTAACATATAAGTATGATTATCAGAGGGATCATGCATATGCTGGGAAAGAACATTGACTGCGAAGGCAATATCTGGGCGATTCAATGTCAAGTATTGAAGTGAACCGTTTATGCACCTATAGGTGTCGGAATCAGATAGGTGGGGATTGGGCTTGATGTTGGACGGTAATTTGGTGCACGTTGGGTTCGCAAGTGGATTGCAATTGATGAGCTTTGCTTGATGAAGAATGGATTCATCGTAAGCTTTCTAAGATAGGAAGTATCCAGTTGGAGTGGACTGAATGCGAATCCCCAAGAAGTGATTTGCCATCCCAAGATTTTTCATTGTGAATTTGAATTCAAGCTGTGTAATGAGTTTTGAAATGGCAGTTTGGTTGTTGCTAGTGATCAAAATGTCATCGACGTAGACTAGCAGGTATATTTGTATATGATCTTTCTTGTACGAGAGTAAGGAAGGATCTGCATGGCTGTGCTAAAAGCCCAGAGAAATGAGATGGTTTATGAAAGTGGTATACCATTGTCGGGGGGCTTGTTTGAGCCCATATATCTCTTTGTGTAGATGACAGACGTGATCAGGATGAGATGAATCTTCAAAGCCTTTGGGTTGTCGCATGTAAACAGTTTCGGTTAGGTGGCCATGGAGAAAGGCGTTTGCTACATCAAACTGTTGAATTGGTCAATTATGAAATAGAGCTACCGCAATAAGTATGTGAATAGTTGGTAGTTTTGCAACTGGACTGAATGTCTCCATATAATCTATGTCATGCTCTTGATGATTGCCCCGAGCGACAAGTCTGGCTTTGAATCGAGCAACAGTGCCATCCGTGTGACGTTTAGTTCTGAAGGTCCATTTGCAACCTAGTATAGAAGCTTGCAGTGGAGGAGGAACAAGAGTCCACATACCTTATTTTTGATGTTCGAAAAATTTGAATGCCATGGCATGGCGCCATTTAAAAATCTAGATGGCTTCTATGTAAGTTGATGGTTCGACGGAAGCGGAAGTAGAGGTTGGATGGTGAAACAAATTTAGATGATTGGGAGGTTTCAGAGCACCTGTTTGGAATCTTGTGATCATGTGGTGTTTGGGAGGTTGAGGTGTATGTAGGTAGGACCAGATGTAGTAGGAGTGGGAGAAGAGATAATAGTAGAGGCTGGAGTAATCGCGGTCTGGGATTGAGTTTCCTGAGAATAATTTAAAGAGAGAATGGGGTGTGTATTTCTTGGTTGAGACGTGTATTGGCTTTGTGAAGCATTTGATGTGGGTAATAGGAAGTATGGTAGGGGTGTGGATTGGAATGGGGCCTGAAAGGTGCTAGATTTCTAGAATGGAAATGAGTTTTCAATGAAAGTGACATGACAAGAGATGTGAATTAAGTTGGAGGCTCTGTTTAGACATTTTGTAGCTTTTGTATTTGTCCGAGTATCCAAGAAATACGCTAGAGATTGATTTTTATTGAAGTTTATGACGAAGAGGACTGGGAGTAAGCAGGAAGCATTCACAGCCAAAAGTTTTTAAGTGTGAGTAAGATAGCAGAATGTTGTAGAATTTTTGAAAGGGAGATATGGCATCCGTGTTTATCGACGGTAATCGATTTATCAGATATGTGGATGTTAGGACAGCATCCGGCCAAAATTGAGGAGGAATAGATGCTTGATGAAGAAGCATTCTGGTGGTATCCAGAATATGCATGTGCTTGTGTTCTGCCATGTCGTTCTGTTCTGGAGTGTAGGGATAGGAGATTTGATGGTGGATGCCTTATTCTCGAAGAAACTGAGTGAAGTTATGATTAAGATACTAAGTTTTGTCGTCGGTTTAAATGGTTTTAATTTTGTGAGCAGATTGAAGTTCAACAAAGGTTTTGAATTCGATAAAGACTTTTGTAACATCAAATTTGTTTCGAATTGGAAATAACCAAGTAAAGCTTGAATAGTCATCCAGAAAAATGACATAGTATTTAAATCCTTGGTTAGAAATAACGGGAGATTACCCCCATACATCGGAGTGTATAAGTTCCAAGGGATTTTTTTTTATTGGAATGATCAAACGTTAGTTTATGACCTTTACAAGATTTACAAGATACACAAACATAACTAGAAGTTGTTATATGTAACTGAGGGTGAGCATCAACAATGAGACGCAGGACCCTTTGATGAGGGCGTCTGAATCGATTGTGTCAGATGTCAGAGGAGGTGTGGACCTTCGAAAGAGCACCGCGCGAACGGGTCAATTGGAAGGGACAGATTGAGTCGTGCATACGACTAACCATTGAGGATAGAGGCTGTCGCCAACACACCTCGATGGGTAGTAATATACACGACCTAATCACGGGTTTCCCCCACTCGATACAATAGTTCGAATGGGGTTTAGTAGATGTGGGACCAAGTTTACCACAGGCGCAAGCTCCCGTGGTTAATTACATCCCAGGCCGAAGCCCGACAAGACTCTCGATTAAGGATCATACATTATCCTCTCCTAAAGTGGGATTGGCAGAGGGGTGAAGACTAGGAAATTCTACTCAAAGGAAAGAAAGGTCTCAAAGAGGCTCAACCAACATGCGTGGCTCATACCAGCATTCGGAGGCTCTAGGGTACTAAGGAGAAACTGGAGAAAGAAAATAAAGCACTCAATCACATACATGAGAGAAAAGATGGAGGTGGCATCATCCTGTGACGCAGATGAGTAGGATTTATAGTCCCTGAAAGGGAGGGACATACCTACTATTTAAGGCATACTACGAGACTGAATGTAGTAGTCTTGAATCCTAATTCTAAATTGGGCTTAGTGTTCTACACAGCATTAAGACCCGTGTCCTAGCTAATGCAGTGCAAAACCTGGACTTACCCCGACTTGGATTGGGGAGCCAGCTAACCACCTAATCATTTCAAAACCATGCTATCAAGTCGGTTATGAAAGATGGGTGGGTGGTACAATTCTTTGAAAATATGACCTACATCTAGAGAATTTTCTAAGTGGTCATAGACTTATGTGGGTCAGATGCTCCTAGCTAATACAATTAAATTTTATTTAGTTGGTTACTAATGCAATGCATGCTAGTTGAAATTTCAGCTCATGGATGCTATAGAATTTTAAAAACAGGCTTATAGAAAATAAATTTTTGGAAAAGACTGAGTCTCCCTAGGTCCGGCACTTCATCCTCATAGGCCAGATTATCCGGACTCTACCAGCAGGCAGGGAGATGTCTTATAACAAGGAAAGAAGGATGCAGCAATATGCATGCGACCCCGGATGGTTCCGACAATTCCCTAGGTTCGTTAAGTTTCTAAATTATTTAAAACTTAAATATTAAATTTTGGTTATGAGTAG